CCTTCTCCTTAAAACACCACTCTGTGTCTCATGCAAATTTTAAACTTTAGATAGTGCTTTTTTCCTAAAAAGTTCTTAATTGCATCGAAGTAAACAGATACAATAGCACTCACTTGTGAAGGGTGCCAGATCGCACCTAATTTTACAACGTGTACATATGATACGGCGGTCGTGTGCAATACCGCTCTCACTGTTATGATCTCCAAGAGTTGTGACATCATCCAATATCTATTTCTTTGTAAATTACAATTTTTTCTTCAGTAGGTTGTTTACATCCAATTCCTGCCAGATCATTTCCACACACCCTGGCAACAGTGCCCCATGTGTTCACCCCCACCATGATTCCTGGGCTCCATGCTCCCATAGGTGGTCCCAGGATTGGAATGGCGGGTGCCACCCAAGAGAGGAGAGGGAGATCATCGGACATCTATTTGCTTACCTCCCCTTCCTACTAAGAACTTGGAAAAAACTTGTAAAACTTTACTTCCACTTTCTGGTGTTACTTTCTCTAGCTGGTCTGGCTGGGGAATAACTAAATGGGGAATGGTTTGCACTCAATTAGCTTCATTGGAGGACAGGTAAGATATCAGGAGTCAAAAGGCCTCTGAAGTCTCATTAAAGAGAATATGTCACCAAAAAAAATCACATAGGGGACTTTTTGTCCCCTATCTGATGAAATAAAAAGTTTTAGTAACAATAAAAAACCTGATGACCTGTAGGGCATTTTAAAGCATTGTCTATAAAAAATGTAGGATACCAAAGTTTGTCATCATTTTGTGGGTGCTTCCAATTTTAAAACTTGACAAATTGGGTATCCCCTCAAAATAATCATTATCAAGTGAACAAATGAAGGAATGTAGATATGTCTATGTGCAAGAATTGGTAAAGAAAATATAAAAATCACCAGTTTTTAGCAAAAATTCAAATCCCGATACCAGGAATGAAAAGTCTCATATTTACATTTAGTTTTCCCTTTTACTCATAGTGAACACATGTTGCAATTTATAGTGAGACAACATCATCTGATGCCCTAAACCTTGTTTATTACCCTTGGACATCGCTTTATAAGAAAACAATGCTTCATGACTCCTGATTCAAGCTGCCTTAGGGACTGCAAAGAAATAGAAAATATAGTTTGTGACCAAATTACTTATGTTAAGTGGTTTTCATGAAATGGCTTTTGCACAAACAACAGGATAATGAATAGACATAAAATTGACAGCACACAATGTCCAGGGTTTCAGGCATCTATATTCCAGTAAACATGATTATGTTAGCTTTACATATACTGTAAAAATATTCCAAATGTAAAGGTTTTTTCAAATTCTGTTCATGTTACTTTGCATTTGCATTTCAATATGTGGTTAGCATTATAGTGGACATATCTGCATATGCAGATGATCCTGGGTGTCCGCACACTTCTGCAAGCAGGAAAATAACTTGTCTTCCAAGGTTTTGCACTGGCTGGGAACTGATTTTTAACTTTCTTGTTGGTATTATAAGGGGCACACTTGGGTATTTACCTATTCTAAACAAGCATTGAAGACACTTTAGAAATATTAAATGGGTGTAAGCAGTACCCTGGAAAAAACTTTTTGTCTTGAATTTCTCCTGAAGAAATAGCAGTATACTTCCTAGAAAGTGAATATTCCTTGACATTTCTTGTACAACAATGTAACTAAGTTAATATGGCCATGTGGCCATATTAAGTCAAAGAAGTCATAGTAGGCTTTCTAGCCCCTTTGTGTATGTCCAACTGCAGGGAAGGGAATGCCCCAGCTGCAACTGATTGGGCTGGCAGTGGTGGTTTCCTTCCAGGTTTGGCTGAACATTGGTTTGGGCCAAACGCAAGCTTATCCCTACTTAGGGTATTTGCACATAGTACTGATGTTTACTGATGTTTGAAAATCAGTATTCCTGGCTGAAATTTCAAGCACTTATTTTGCACATACTGTATTTACTTGTATTTATTTGCGTACATGTGCATGTATTCATATTTACATGTATGGACATACACAAGTAAAATAAATTCTAACCCCTTCAATGTAATAGTGTACATGCGTGCACATGTATATACTCACTCGTGTGTGCTTAAAACACTAACCAGCAACTCAGACTTTGGAAATTTTTTTTACTCATCCATATACGGCACATGTTTATACACCTGCATGTACAGACATCTAGAAAACAATGGGCTGCATTTAGATAATGCATGCATGCCTGAAAACACACAGTATTTTGGCAGCAGTGTGCAAGAGGCCTTAAAAGCACCTACTGGTAAGCTGAAATAATCTTCTGTCATAAAAATAGCTACAATTTCAGTTACATAGTTAGGTTGAAAAATTACACTATTCCGTATAGTTCATCCAATAAAAAAAATACACACACACAATAGAAAACCTCCATATACACAATCTTATACCCACATTTATAAAGAAGTAAAAAAACCCAATAAAGCATGATCCGATTTGCCCTAGTGGGGAAAAAATCCTTCCTGATCCACCATGAGGCACTTAGAAATTCCATGGACACCCCTATCATTATTACCTCTGAATATTAATATCCAGTTAAATTTGTGCATTTAGGAATGCATCTATCTCTTTTTTTTTTAACAATCTACTGAGCTGACAAGAACAAGTTCTTGAGGGAGTTTATTCCGCATTTCCACAGCTCTTACTGTGAAGAAGTCTTTCTGTATGTGAAAGTTAAATCTCTTTTCCTCTAGACCTCTGGATCAATTGTGGGTATAGGATTATAACTTTTTTTTTGGTTGAACTGGATGGACTTTTGTCTTTTTTTCCACCAGACTAAGTCTGACCATACACTTTACAATTTTCTTACAGTTTTCTGTCCAATTTCTGCCCAATTTCCTTTAGATTTACTTTCAACTGTGTAGTGCAAGGGCCTGCCTAATTAGACACAGTTTAAAGTGTTAATTCTCAAGAAAATTGTAATTGAATAACTCTACTCTATACGGACCACTTATGTATTTATACATGTTGATCATATCCCCCCTTAATCTCCTCTTCTTAAGAGAGAATAAATGCAGTTCAGCTAATCTTTCCTCATAGCTCCTCCATGCCTCTTATCACTTTGGGTGCTCTTTTCTGCATTTTCTCTAGTTCTCAGATATTCTTTTTTTGAAGGGGAGCCCAAAATTAAACTGTATATTCCAAAAGAGGTCTTACTATTGATTTGTATAGGGGCAAAATTATTTCTCTCTCTCTTTCCCTCTCTCTTTGGAGTCTATACCTCTTTTAATTCAAGAAAGGATTTTGCTCGCTTTAGAAGCTGCTTGGTTTTGCATGCTATTATTAAGTCTATGATCTACCAGAACTCCTATATCCTTCTCCACCATTGATTCCCACAGCTGTCATCCTCCTTGTATGTAAAATGTGTGCATGCATTTAGCTCCCAAGTGCCTAACTTTACATTTATCAACATTAAACTTCATTTATCAGATAGTTGCCAATTTAATGGTGTATTGAGTTGGCTTCTAAGTTGGAGACATCCTGGATGGACATAATTCAACTGCATAGCTTGATGTCATTTGCAAGCACTGAAATTGCATTTTTAAATCCCAAACGATATAATTTATAAATATGTTAAAAAGTAGGGGCACCAACACAGAACCTTGAGGTACACCACTAATAATCTTATACCATTCAGAGTGTGAATCATTGCACATTACTCTCTGAATTCTAACTTTTAGCCAGTTTTTTTTCCATTTACATACTGAATTTTCTAAACTTGCAAACGTTAAATTATTAGTCTCCTATGAGAAACTGTGTCAAACGCTTTGGCAAAATCCAAGTCTACTACTTCTACCGCTACTCCTTTGTCTAAGGTTTTAATCATCTACTCATAAAAAGAAATCAGATTTGATTGACAACTTTTTTGTGAATCCATGCTGACTGTTGCTTAAAATATTATTTTCTGGCAAAAACTCTTTGTCTTTTAATAAACTCTCAATTATCTTCCCAACTTACTGGGCTGTAATTACTTGGTCTAGACTTTGATCCCTTTTAAAATATAGGTACCACATTGTCCTTATGCCAATCTAGTGGTACCATGCCAGTCATTAAAGAGTATCTAAAAATTAGAAACACTGGCTTAAATATGAAAGAGCTTAGCTCTTTGAGTACCCTTGGATGCAAGCCATCTGATCCCTGTGCTTTAGTCACCTTTATTTTGCCTAAATGTTTCTGGACCATGTCAGTTATGAATCATTGTGGATCATATTATCCTCATTAAAGCAGCAGTAAACTCCACTTTTGAATTTGTACCTACAGATAAGCCTATAATAAGGCTTACCTGTAGGTACAGTGAATGTCTCCTAAACTCTCTCTCCTAAACTCTCTCTCCTAAACTCTCCCCCCTAAAGTCTCTAAAAATTAGAAATAATGGTTTAGATATAACAGAGCTCAACTCTTTGAAGACCCTTGGGTGTAAACCATCTGGTCCCTGTGCTTTAGTCACCTCTAATTTGTCTAAATGTTTCTGGACTATGTCAGTTTTAAGCCATTGTGGATCATTTGGGGCTATGTCAATATTATTCTAATTAAAACAGTAGTAAACTCCACTTTTGGACTTGTAACTACAGGTACGCCTATAGTAAGGCTTACCTGTAGGTACAGTGAATGTCTTCTAAACTCTCTTACATAAACTCTCTCCCCTAAAGTCCCTAACCTTAGAAACAAAGGCTTAGATATAAGAGAGCTCAGCTGTTTGTAAGCCATCTGGTTCCTGTGCTTTAGTAACCTAAAGGTTTCTGGGCCATGTCAGTTTTGAGCCATTGTAGTTCATTTGGAGCTATGCCAATATTATTTGCTTTTGAACTTGTACCTACAGGTAACCCTATAACATGGCTTACCTCTATGTACAGTGAATATCTCCTAAACTTGCTGTGTTTAGGACATATTCACATGGGATGCAGCTGGTAAGATTGCCAGTCCATGCATTCTAAAGTGATGGCTGGCATACTCATACCATCCCCTCAGTGCTCTGTGCAGGGGCGGACTGACAACTCATGGGGCCCCCGGGCAATAGGGGATCATGGGGCCCCTGTGTCCTTTCCAAACTTAAAAAAGCCTATGAAAAGGGTACCAGGGGCATCTCATGGGGCCCCCTACTGACCCTGGGCCCTCGGGCATTGCCCGAGTTTCCAAATGGTCAGTCCGCCCCTGGCTCTGTGCCATGGCCGTGACTCCCACATGCATGCACAGGAGTGACAGCATAGCAGCTCAGTCATTCAAATGGCTGCAGCCTGCAAACCCATAGGAAGACTGGGTGAAGATGGAATCCCTGTCAGTGCACCGTTGGAGGGCTTTGTATTAAGGTAAGTATGCCATAATGTGCTAGTATGCGGTACATACTAGCACAATATGGCTTAAACCGCCCGGGGCCAGGTTTTTTTTTTTTAAATAGCAAGTTTGCTTACATTTTCTACTTTATACTTTAAGGACTTGAGCCTCCCCATTTTCTTTTGTATACACAGAATTGAAGAAGGTATTAAAAAATTAGCCTCCTCTTATGGTTAAAGGATAAGTTCACCTTTCAGTAAAAAATAATAAATGCACATTTTTTTGCAGGTAAAAAAATCTGCATTTATTTCTTTTGCCTGCTGGAGCCTGATCACACATGGCTGCATTTTTTTTTTAATTTGACAGTTGGGGGGGGATCCCTCACTAGCTGTCAAAGAGGAGATCAGGGGGGGGAAGGCGGTCTGATCGTAATATGGGTGTAACATATAACATGATACAAAGGGTGAACTTATCCTTTAAGGTATTTGCAGATTTTTTATTTTTTTTGGGGGAGGGGGGGTTGTCCTACTCTCTTTTGCAACCTGTTGTTTGTTTTCAGTTTTCAATTTTTACAGCTTTGATTTCATTTTTACATATTCTGTTATGATATTCTTTGTAACCTTTAAATGATGATGGTGAAAACATATTTATCTACAATGCTTATTGATACAGAGGTGAATAGGGCTTGTATTAAAGTGTTTTTACTGCTCATTTATAATATGAAAATACTTTAGTATGAGTAATCTGGACACAGGTTCACTTCTTTAACCATTTCAGGATTTTAGACAGAGGAGATACATCATACAAAAAACATCAACAAAGTTTCTAGGATGTACTGTATATCCCACATCCTGCCCCTCTACCCTTGCCACCACTCTCCCCCGCCACTATTTTCAGCAATTACCAACATTTAAAATGACCAGGAATTGCTATGTATTACAGTACTTAGCAGGAGCAGCTGTCAAAATGCAGCAACTCTTATGTAAATAAAATGTAACCATCCATGTGCTTGAGATGGACTTGTTCTACTTAACCAAAGTGATAGACTGGACTGCGGGGCATGGGCAGCAGAGGCAATGCTATTGACTGTTGAGAATGTGGAGGCATGTTATGCTGTATATGTGAAGAATAGTTTTAGTAAAGGAATTCAGCTGATGATGAGCTTTGCCTGGTCTGAAGTTTATTCAAAAGTACATAGTGGTGTATGCACGGTGTGTTTAAAAGTATCCTCTGAGAAGAGCAGTCATACACTATATTAGGGTTTGGGAAGGAGTGGTTTACATGAGAGTGTAAAGTTGAATGCAACCTTACTAAGATCAGTGACTTGGTGGGAGTGACAGAGGTCCCTGGCAGTGAAAGGGATCAGTTTGCTGGATTTCTTCCCTAGCGGCCTGGACCCCCATCTTGGGTCCTGCTGTGGTACAGGGCATTCTAGAGATCTGGCCTGAAAGTCATAGAAGAGAGTGACCTTGAAGAGAACAAGCACTGTGTTAACTAAGATGACAGCTAACAGGTGTTTGTTAACAGAGTCACTAAGGAGAGTGACGGTCGCAAATTGGTGGAGTCCAGAGCCTGTCCAACAGCTCCAGCTCAGAAATGCTACAGTACTTTTGTTGGGTGGAAAAGGGAAAGGGGATCTTGTGATTACAAAATGTTCTATAATAAATGAGATCCATGTGTAAAATATCAAGTAGAGCTGCCTCAAGCATTTGCCTGCAGTCACTCCGTTGGCCTCTAGGATCATTACAGCGTATCTGTAATCCTCTCTCTGTAAATACTGCCCACAAGCAGATTTACATTAAGGAAGGTGGGTTGTACAGTGTAGAATGATTAGAAAGAGGCCTGCCAAAAGGCCTTCTGAAGGTAACTTGAGTGGACTTTCTAACTTTATTTCAGTCAGTATTTCCTGGCTAGCACTGAAAGTTAGTTAACTGATTTTACCTGTTCCTTGAAGCAGATTTTTAAACTTGTGATGTTAATATTGGTAATTCTGTTGGTTGTATCTTCAATATGATATTTAGTCCCTTCACACAGATAAGTAAATAAAAATTACCAACTAAACAATACATTTTCTTATGATGAGTACAGAACCAAAGCAACTGTTTTCCTATCATTCTTTTCTGGTTTTTAGTTTCATCCACAGTTTTATGGTCATAATATATCATTTGTAGAGTTCTATTTTATGCAACTGGAAAAATACAGTACTACCCTGCTCACACATATTGTTTTTCTGGATGGCACCAAAATGATCAATTTATTTCACTAATGGTGTTTCTAGGCTAGAGATGAAATATCATTCATGTTGTTATCCAGCTCCCTTTCTTTTCTCTTTTCCTCAGACCCAAGCCATAATGTGTATGCCTTGCAGGAAAATGACATTATCTCAAAAAACTATGTTTTAGAATCTAAAGGTCACTTACAAAGCTGCAATACTACAAACCTGCAGAGGAAATTCACTATCTCCTTTTGTGTGGAGTTTTCCTCTTTGTATAGGTTAACACATAAAACAGAACATCATAATGATGGCAATAAATAGCATCAAGAAATCTTGTAAGACTAATGTATTGCAGACCATCTAGCATATCCAATAATGTACAAAAATCTTAATCAAACTCTTGTGTATGGCTGTAGTAAGAGGACATTTTTAATCAAAGGCACAGGAGTATTTTATACCCTGGATTATGTGGGAGAATTTTTATCAGCCTCTTTCAATCTTTTTAACCCTGATAATAAAATGATCATATTTATAGCTTACAGTGTATTATTGTGATTAGTATAATGTATACATATATATATATATATATATATTTATTTATTTATATAGACAGTGCATCCAGAAAACATTCACAGTGCTTAACTTTTGCCACATTTTGTTGTTGCAGCCTTATTCCAAAATGGATTTAATTAATTTTTTCCCTCAACATTCTACCCCCCCCATAATGACAACGTGAAGGAAGTCATTTTGAAATCTCTCCCAATTTATTAAAAAAAAAAAGAAAACAAACACATGTACATAAGTATTCACAGCCTTTGCCATGACACTCAAAATTGAGCTCTGGTGCATCCTGTTCCCACTGATCATCCTTGAGATGTTTCCACAACTTGATTGGAGTGCACCTGTGGGAAATTCAGTTGATTGGACATGATTAGAAAAGGCATAAACCTGTCTATATAAGTTCCCACAGTTAACATTGCATGTCAGAGCACAAACCAAGCCATGAAGTCCAAGGTATTGTTCGTAGAGCTCTGACCCTCAATTACAAAAAAGTTTGGGCGCTGTGTAAAATCTACATGAAAACAGAATACAATGATTTGCAAATCTCATAAACCCATTTTTTTCACAGTAGAAAATAGAAAACATATGAAATGTTTAAACTGAGAAAATGTACCACTTTAAGAAAAAAAAAAAGGTAAGTTTGAAATTGATGGCAGCAACATGTCTCAAAAAAGTTGGGACAGGGCAACAAAAAGCCAGCAAAGTAAATGGTACTAACAAGGGAGAGATGGAGGAACATTTTTCAACTTATTATGTTAATTGGCAACATGTCAGTAACATGACCAGGTATAAAAAGAGTTTCTCAGAAGTAAAGATGGGCAGAGGTTCACCAATCTGTGAAAAGCTGTGTCTAAAATTTGTCGAACAATTTTTAACAATGTTTATCAACATAAAATGGCAGAGTCTACATATATCATCTTCTACAGTATATAATATCATCAAAAGATTCTGAGAATCTTGTGAAATCTCTGTGTGCAAGAGACAAGGCCAAAACGCAAATATTGGATACCTTTGATTTTTGGTTTGGGCCCTCGGAGGGGAATCACTGCATTGGCTCAGGAATACTTCCAAAAATCACTGTCTGTGAACACAGTTTGCCGTGCCATCCAAAAATGAAGAAGAGAAGAAGCCATATCTGAACATTATCCAGAAAAACCTCCGTCTTCCAGAAAACTGCTCTGTGGTAAGACAAATCGAAATTTGACTTTCTTTTTTGACAACCGAAAGTGCTGCATCCTCTGGATTAAAGAGGAGAGGGACCTTCCAGTTTGTTATCAGTGCTCAGTTCAAAAGCCTGCATCTCTGATGGTATTGTGTGTATGGAATAGGCAGCTTGTACATTTGGAAAGGCACCATCAATGCTGAAAGATATATGTCCAGGTTTTAAAGCAGCATATTCTCCCATCCAGATATCTTTTTCAGGGAAGGCCTTGCATGTTACAGCAGGAGAATGCTAAACCACATACTGCATTTATGACAACAGCATGGCTTTAAAGTAGTACAGTTCGGATGCTTAACTGGCTTGCCTGCAGTCCAGACCTTTCACCAATTGATAATATTTGGTGCATCTTGAAATGAACAAAAAAGGAAATCCAGGACTTTTGAGCAATTAGAGTCCTATATCAGGCAACAACATTTCTCTCCCCAATTTTCAGCAGTTGGTCTCCTCAGTTCCCAGACATTTACAGAGTGTAGTTAAAAGAAGAGGGAATGCTACACCGTGGTAAACATGGCTCTGTTCCAACTTTTTTGAGATGTGTTGCTGCCATGCATTTCAAAATTACATTATTTTTTTCTTAAAAGTTACATTTTCTCCTTTTAAATATTTCATAAGTTTTCCATTTTCTATTGTGGGATTTAGGTTTATGAGACTTGGAAATCATAGAGATTTTACATCTAAGGTTCATATTTAGGTTAGTGCATTGGAGCAGAAGAAGGGATTTTCCAAGCAAACCTTTTTAGGAGTCATGAGACAAAGGTTCTACCTTAGTATTTATTCCCCTGACTACTTTTGCTATGTGCAAAAAAAAAAACTACTTTATAGGAATACATTTTTTGATGTCTATGGAAAAGGTTGGATCCCATAGGAATTAGATTTATTGCCCAGGCTG